TCTTTTCTAAGTTCTTTATTTACTTAAAGCACGTTTACTAAAGTACTTAAAATTTTTTCTTTCCGTAGTGAAATGTTACTAATTGATCGTCGCATCATCAATCCACTATTATCACATTTATATTATCACAAGTACTATTTCCCTTTCTTTTTCTTTAACTACGTTTTCTTTTTGCTGATTCTTTCAGCTTAAAGTTTCCTTTAGGCAGCTTTTTTCCTTTCTTTTAATAAAGAAGTTCCCCCCTAAATTCCATGATGGTTCCTCGTGAGGAAAAATATTCCGGAGGTAAACTTGCCTCCCGTTCAGATCTCCGGATGGAGGCTTACCCATGGGTGGTTATCGTGGTGAGGAGAAGCTCGCGCATTGTGTCGTTAAATGCATCTGGCGCAACGCCGAAGGTGACGAGTAGATGCACTTTCGGTATCAGGCAGAGTGGGAACGATGCAACACGCCATGTAGTGCGCGATCGTCGTCCAAGGACACTCAACTTGGGATACACTGCTGCGTTCTTTGCCCAGCACAACCAGGGCTGCATCAGGTGTCCGCCAGTCTTTGAGAGGACACAGTTGTTTTGGAAAGATGCGATAGATGTTTGCCGAAGCCATCTTCAAAGTCGTATAATCAAATGCCGTAGACGTTAAAGCGGTCGCGATTAGATTAGAGAAACACAGCGCCGGAGCTGCTGTGTTAACTTCTTCCAGTTCGAAAAACAATGCGGTCGAAAATGATCCAGGGTACGAATTGACAAGCACGCGGTCGCTAACTTGTCCATACACCCGCATACATCCCTCACAAAACTTCCATGGATTGGAATGTACGACCCCAGTTCCTAGAAAAAGCCCCAAACACCGCGATAGCAGTGCACACAGTACGCACGAAAAGACCCTCTTACCTCCGATCGTCGAGCAAGACACCGAACAAGACTGCGCAGAAATTTCTCGGGAATCACCGGAAACAGTCCTCGAAATAGGCGACGCTCCGTCGGCAATACTCGAGGAGGACACTACACGCGTATCCCCCGAAATATCCAACGTGATAGGCGTGGATCTTCAATTAGAGGCGGGTCACGTTCGTTGAACTCTGTGCATCTACCTGCGGTATCGAAACGATTTCTGCTATGGCCTTTCATTCCGTAAATCCTGCGATTACGAAAATTCGTTTGATGCAATTAAATATGAAACGTTCTAGAACGGTAACGGGTGAAGTTCGCGATCTAATTAGACAGAAGCGCTTGGACGTGCTGCTTTTGCAAGAGCCGTACGTTCAAAAGCATTGGACGGGTTACGAGATAATAGGATTAGGTAATACAACGAGAGTTGATATGATCCGCGATGAAAGACTCTGTCCGGTGGTCACGTCAACCAACCCGAACATCGTGTTGTTTATCTTACAGTTTAGCACCCCGCACTGCGTCTGTATAGAACTGCAAGCACCGGTATCCTCTTTCTACGTCTTCTCGCAATACTTTCAGTACAGCGACGAAATAGAGGTGCACCATAGGCACTTGGAATCGACACTTCGTGGTCTAAGGTTGGAGAAAGTAATTTTATCACTTGACGCCAACGCGCGATCTCCCTCAGGGCACAGACGCAAAAGGCTCGAAACTAGAAGCATTCATGCAGGCATCCAGATTGAATGATTTAAATAACGTAAAGCAGCAACCCACCTATTGGACGACGAGAGGCTCCTCATGCATCGACGTAACCCTCTCATTGGAATCCATGAATATACTTATTGGCTAATGGAAGGTCAGAAAAGGCTGAACGTCCATTGACCACAATTCCATAGATAACGAGATACATCCTCCAAAGGCTTAGTCGGGTCGATGGGGTTGCGCTCGGAGCACGGGAAACAGAAGGTTCATACCAGATGTGCCGATTGGGACCTGTTTGCTGAGTCCATGCTTTCTATCACAGCGGCAAGGGTAGAGTGAAGCAGTTTAGGATCAGCTACAGAAATACAGACACGAGACAACGTGTTCACAAGTGTTCTACAAGCCGCATGCTCCGAAACTATCTCCCAAATAGAGGCTCACCGGGAGTCCAACCAATGGTAGACATTAGCGTTAACGAAACCAAGGAAAGCTGTAGCTCGGTTAAGACGCGCGTTCCAACCCAGAAATGGCTTTCAGGTACTCCTCGGGTTATTGCGTGAGTATCACTCTTCTTCGCGGGCCTGTAGTAAAGAGGTAAGACGGGTCAAATTAGACAGGTGGAGGAAATTTGTCACGGAACAGGGCAACGCGGAAACGTGGGGGAAATTTACAAGCAACAGATGAGTAAATTTCGGGTCGAAAGAGTTATTAATACTATTAAGCAAGAGGGCGGGAAAACTATGAATGTCCAAGATACGGCAAAGTTTCTCCTTAATACGCAGGTCGACTGTGTATCCGAATACACTGGAACAGCGAGCAATTCGAAATTTTTCGCGAAATGTTCACGAAACGGTAATTGACCCACTCATCACGGAGACAGAGATCGCGCGGATTATAGGGTCCCTCAAAAACGAAAAAAGCTCTGGGGCGAAATCTTATCGAGGTGTGTATGCTCAAGAGAGCATTTGCCATCATCCCTACACATTTTGTAGATCTTTTCAGTGGGTACCTTCAATGGGGTATCTTCCCCTCTATTTGGAAAGAGGGTTCTTTAAGAGTACTTTTGAAGGGCGGCAACAATGATGCGGAAGTCCACAAGTCGGATATGTCATCTCTCCATCATACGGAAGCTTTTGGAAATACTGCTGAAGTTGCGCCCCTCCGAAACCCCCCTCGCGCCGGGAAAAATTTCGGGCAAACACACTGGTTTTGTCAAGGTATGTTCCACAAAAGACGCAATCGTGAAAATGCGTCGAATCGTTTTTGCCTCCTAACGGAAATACATCGTGTTGTTATTCAACATTTCGGAAGCCTTTGACAACGTACGGTTGCCTCTAAACCTCAAGACACTACAAGTTTGAGACTGTCCGAGAAATATCTTCTACGTGATGACTATCTACTTCGTGGACCGTAAGGTAAATATTGCTGTTGGTGGGCATGAGGACTCAAAGCACACCTTGAATGGATGCCCTCAAGAATTGGTCCTTGGCCCCTTCTGCCGGAATCTCTACCAGCTCCTTAGGGTACAAAAGGAATTCTCGGTAGTCAACGCAATCGCGTATGCGGACGAATTACTTGTTGCCGCAAATGGAGACTCTAGAAAAGAACTCGGAAAGAAAGGGAATCGCGTGATTAATAGCATGACCGGATGGTGCTCTTAAACGAAGCTCTCCATCTCCTAGCGTAAGCCAGAAGCGATCGTTCTTAAAAGCGACTGGGTGAAGAGGAATCCCATCGGTAGGAGGGGGGGACAACGTCCGGATAGTAAACGGAAGACGGCGAAAAAAATCGACATTTCTAGTAAACCCCCCACTACAAAAATAAGGAACAACAATATCAAATTCAGGAATTCCGTGAAATATTTCGGAATACACTTTGATAAAGGGTTGAGGATCACCACACACTGCCGTTAACTCAAGAATAAGGTCGGTCATTTGTTCGCGAAGTTAGTTAGTTTAGCAGCTAGGGAATACGTACTTCGTCACTGCGCACTCTGAGCGATTTATTGGGACATGTTCACCGCTACGGTTATGTACCTGGCAGAAGGATGGTCTGATCTCTGCATGGATTGGGACATTAGAAGCTAAGCGCGATCCAATGATCGGCCCTCATTTCGGTCACATCCGCGTATCGCACAACCTCTACAGAATACCTCTTCTTTTCAGCGCGAGTATCCCTGATTGAGCTCCAGTTACTCAAACGGCGGAGATTATTAGACTTCAGGAAAAACACAGGCATAGAGATAGTAACGCGAAAACTGGAAGGCACGAAGCTAAAGCGCGCGATAGTGGAACAGGTGGATGAGGAATGCTTTGGGTATTTGTAGTCCAAGTGGGAAAATTTCTGCAATGGAAGGACAACATTTGAGTTTTTCCCGTACATCAAGGAAAGGTTGGGTGACCGTTTCAATTTCCAAATCACTTTTCAAAACAATTCTTTTCATGTCATGGGGCTATCAAAGTAAAGCTAACGTCGCTGAATCTCGTCACGTATGGAACATGCGATTATGGCGAAGAAGATACGGTTTCGCATCACATCATCGAATGTCCGGTTTTCGAACACCAGAGAGTATTTTTGAGAGAATGTTACATCCCGCGACAAGCGTCGAATGTAAATTAAAAAAAATAACATGTGAACTATAGTATAAATGAAGAATTAATACATTAGCTAGCTTAAGTAAACCACGGGGATCAATCTTCAATATTCATATCACATATATGTTAGGGCATTTATTTTAGTAAGTTCGTTCACTCGTAGGCTAAATATTATTATATATAGTCAAAATATCAATAATTTTACTACTAGCTATATTAGCCAAGAAACACCTGTTACTATAAGCACCTTCTTTTTAATAATACATAAAAGTACACAAAAGAATTAAACAGCAATAACAATATTAATTAGCTAATAAATTGGAACATATCATAACAAAATACACACATATATTTATACAAACCTGTAATAAATGAACAATTACCCTAATGAATTAATGTTCAACATCCTCAAGAAATTACTGCGTCAAATATCTTTAAATAAATATAATAAATAATTACGAGACATGCTTAGCGTATATGGCGAGACGACATCCGGCGATACGGATTTTAACATCCTGCGTTCCAAGTAATAAGAACAACGATATCAACATCATTCTCAGAACTACACCTGCCGACAACAACATTCTAGAGGCTAAGAGCTCCCAGAATTACATCAGATGATAAGCACCGAGCGAACGCAATACTTGGATGAGGTAATAGAGGTACGTTCGCATTATTCTGCCTCATCACCATCGCACGTAGGCGGCCTTCGCGAACGGCGTGCGCCACTACCGGCGCACTTAAGCGGCACGCGTGAGCGGCACACGTGCGCAATAACGTCAACAGGACTCACCCTAGCAGGAGCAAAGTACATCGTCAATCAGTCATCGTTCGCAGCTCTACTCAACAAGTCGCAAGCTACTAATCTTGAGCCTTAAGCAGTCATTATTCAACTTAAAATTTTACGCTACAGTTTATCCTTGTCAATTAAATAAGTTAGAATTCTCGAATTAACTTCAGGAAATTGAAATTAAAAATTCAATCAATAAAATAAACGCGTTCGCGTTCGGAACATTATTCAAAGGTGTAATTAATCAATGTACTTTAGTGAAATATTTAATACATAATTAAAGTTATTATCGTTAACCAGTGCGTGATTTCCTTTTATCCATTCATTCATCCATCCTTATTGCTCGGTGAGGACGAACTGCACGAGCATCTTCCTATAAAATTGTCGTTTCGGTGAGAACGCTCCGCACGTACGACACTTTTCTCTTTCTCTCCTACCTCCAATTAACCACCTCCTCCAAATACTAACCCTCCTAATGCCGAAGGTATATCGCGGTGGTAGGAAATATCAACTACGACGCCTAAAGAACTTTACTACAAAACCAAAACTTATTGGGTTATTATATTATTGGGAATTAAGTGGAGAAGAGAAAGAAAATTCTCCATCATACCGTATTATTCCCCTGCAACTTTCTAGAAGGGGTATACCCCCACGAAATCTCCCCACTATGGAAACTAGGTCCCCCAAATATCTGGAAATAAGTCTCCACTACTAGCTGGGAATGTCTTCCCAAAAGATAAGAGAGCATCTGGAACATCTATTCGACACTCTGTTCGGTGCCAATCCCGAGGCAATCGAAGTGCCCAGGCAGGTAAGAGCCGAAAAGGGAACAAGTCATTCGCGAAAGTCGGAATAGCTGAATAACTTTGGAGGTAGCTCTAAGGTACGTGATTTGCGAGACGTAACATATTAAAAATCTGGTGACAACGGTGGGATTGACCGCTTAAACAATGTCAACTGATAAGCAGATGCTATCAAAATCTACTGATAAAATAGAAACACATAGTGTAGTTAGGCGAGGCAATGAAAAGGTACATGAAGAAATAATTAATAGAATCCGACAGAGGGAATTACAAGTTTCTGAACACGAAGAAGCTATCCGCGATAGCGAAGAACTAATAAATAACGGGGCTAGTAAGTCCGAATTCAATTCACTTGAAGCAGTATTACAAGAAATTGTGACTGCACAAAGACAAGTTGATTGTTCGGGAAGAGAATCTCCTGAAGCTCGATAATTATCGACACGTGCAGCCGCAGACGCAGTTCCATCTTAAGATGGTCAAAACATAACCATCCAGAACTACATCCGAGCATGTAAACGCGGACGTGATCTGGTATCCGCCAAATAGCGGAGCGACGGTGATTCGACTCATTATTAATAATCTTCGGGGTTTAGCATATATTGCCGTAGAGAATCGCGAAATATTAACCTTAGACGAACTATGCAATACATTACGGAGAAGTTTCGGGCGAAATCGTACTCTGCAACAATATATAGCTGAGCTTAATATTATTTGCATGGAACCCGACGAACATATTTTACAGTATATTAGTAGGGTCAAAGATTATACCAAGCAATTTACGAAGAGGAATGACTAAAACATAAGAGCTATCAGAAGAAAAGATTAAAGAAATAGAATAATACACATTGGTAAGTTATTGCGAAGGCCTCCCGCGGGACTGTAGAATAGCAATTAAACCGAACAACTGTAAAGACATATATGACGCATTCGGAAAAACACAAGACCACTTGATGGTAGAACAGGATCGACAGCGTCATCAGAGATATAGAAACGTAAAACTCTTTAGCGATAGACCACTAAATAGCAGCAGGACGCAGAATAGAATCCGACCGTTAAATGATAGTAGAATGGAGGCTAGGGATAAATAGATGTGTGAGATAAAGCAAGAGCCATTGCCAAAATTTTGCTCAAACTATAATAGATTCGGTCATATAAAAGAAGAGTGCTTTAAGGCAAAATGGGAGGGATGAAACGAACTGCAAGTATTCTTACGTAGGGAGCGTCCACCCTTTACCCCGCATCCCCCTCTGCAATCACGATCTCCTGACTTCTTTCCTCCACGAAGGGAATGCAAATAATGCTGGAATTTAGGTCACACGATCGAGGAATGTCGGAAAAAGATGTGGCGTGAAAAGCATTCGAGAAACGAGATCCCTTCCCCAGGACTAGACTCGAACCGGGGGAGCGCCAACCTAACGCGCCCGGTAAAAATTGTGACGGCAGATACACCGTCCACGTCCGCAAAATCAGATTAGAAAATAAACCAGAAACACCAACAATGAAATTAACTTCTTAAAATTTTAAACAAGAAACGACCTTTTTAGTTGACAAAAGATTTGAATCTAATATACTAAAAATCGGGAAGGCCAGCGGTGAAGTTCTCGTCGATGAATAAAAAATAATAAAACTTAGCGGAATTACCGACAAGGTAATGCTAACCTAAGGCTCATGCATTATCGTCTTGTTCGGACACCCAGTAGAGTTCCATCTCGTACCTAACACATTTCCAATTCCTCATGGTGGTATTCTTGGGGCTGATTTCTTCAATGATGCGGCAGAAATCAATTTCATGGGTAAGATAGTTTCCTGGAAGGATATAAAAATACCATTTATCATTCCAGATGAGAAAACGATCGCGGGCAGGACAGGCAACTCATTAAGAATAAACGTCTCGAATACAAACGTAAAGATGGGCTATGTTCCATTGTTAAATCTAGGGGACGGCATTTACGCTGGCAAAACTATCGTTTCTGACAACAATGGACATGCACATATAGAAGTATTTGATACTAAAGAAGAAGAAATAACAATTAAAATACCTACGGTCGAAAAAGAGGAATTCGAGATAGTCAATGAAGCAAATGACTCTACCTTAGAGCACGAGTCACATGCTTCCAATAACACAGGAAAAAATTTATGCACCGATAAGAAGGAAGAATATATAATAAATCCAAGCCAAGAAACACCTTCCGAACCCTCATTCCTTCGCACAAAATCATCTCACGTTAAATAGACCTGCAAGTTGATATCCAGGGCAGATGAAATCCGTTTTAATCGTACATTAAAATTTATAGATTTAAAATCACTGAATAAGGAAGAAAGGGGAATAGAAGAACAGATGATTAAAAACCCCTTTGACTTATTTCATTTACCAGGCGAAAAACTAACGCACACGTGTACTATTAAACACACTATAGAAACAGTTGATACGACATCAGTTGCCGTACGACAGAATAGATTACCACCATTCCATAAGGAGGAAATAAATAGATAAATAGATGAATTAATAAAGAACGAAGTGATACAACCATCCGTATCACCCTATAATACCCCATTATGGATGGTTCCAAAAACAGCAGACTCGAATGGTAACAAAAGGTGGATACTTATTATCGATTACAGTATGCTGAATGAAAAGACTATAAAAGACAGCTATCAGCTGCCCAATATAACAGAAATATTAGATCAGCTGGGCAGTGCCAAGTATTTTAATACTTTTGATTTAGAATCAGGGTTTCACCAAATTCAAATGGATAAGAACGATGCACAAAAAAGGCATTCTCTACACCGAATGGGCACTATGAATTCACTCGCATGCCCTTCGGGTTAAAAAATGCTCCGTCAGCTTTTCAAAGGCTAATGAACTCAGTTCTGTCCGGGTTACAAGCAAATGAATTATTTATTTATCTATATGACATAATTATTTATTCAAATTCACTTAATGAACACATCACTAAATTCAAAAAACTTCCTGATAGGCTAAGAGAAGCGGGTCTCAAACTACAACCAGAGAAATGCAACTTCCTTTAAAAGGAAGTTGCGTACCTAGGTCATATAATAAGCGCGTCAGGGGTGAAACCTGATCCCGGGAAAATAAAAGCGGTAAAAGAATTACTAACTGCACCTACAGCGAAAAACATAAACAATTTCTTGGAATAGCAGGATATTATAGGCGTTTTATACTGAGTTTCTCTGGCATCCGCCGACCTTTAACGAATTTGTTAAAAAAGGACATCCTATTTGAATGAAAGGAAAGCCACGATTACGTGTTCACCCATTTGAGAGATCTTCTATACAAAGAACCGAAAACCATGAAAATAGGATTGTTGCAAAGAATTTTTTCAACGTTCAACTGCCGATTTTATTCGAAAGCCATCCGCATAACTTTCCCTCGATCAGTCGGAATAATTCCAAGTCCAACAGTCCCTTCGGTTCGAGTGGCACTAGCGTAAGATTCCGTCGACCAGTTAGAACCTTTCTAAGATCGACAGTGGTTTTGGTTCAAGAGTTTCTCGCATAACCTTCCTTCAACCTGTCGGATTGATCCCAATTCCGAAAGCCGCATTGTGTAGAGAGGCCAACGCATGTCATTATCCAGACTAGTTCGTATATTCTCAAGACGCGAAGCCGCATTGTTTCGAGAGGAACTCGCATAGCTTTCACTGGACTAGTCGGAATATTTCCAATTCTGACAGCCGCATTTGTTCGAGAGGCTCTCGCATAACTTTCCCTCCACTATTCTCATTATTACTAAGCCTGACAGTCGCTTTTTTTCGTGCGGCTCTGGCATAACTTTCACCCGATTAGTCGGATTATTTCCGAGTCCGACTGCCGCATTGATTCCATAAGCATTCGCATAACTTTTTCTAGAATAGTCGAAATAATTTCAAGTCCTATAGCTCTATTGGTTCGAGAGGCAGTTGCATCTCTTTCCCATAACTAATCGGAATATTTCCGAGCCCGACGGTCGCTTTGGTTCACATGACACTCGCCTAACTTTCCCAAGATTAGTCAGAATTTTTCCAAGACCTAAAGTCGTTTTGGTTCGAAATCGCATAACTTTCCCTCGACTTATCGGAATATTTCCAATTCCAACTGTTTCTTTGTAGCACAATTCTCTTGCATAACTATCCCTCGTCAGGAATGATTGTTTCCAAGATCGATAGTCTCATTGGTACGAGTGTCTCTCGCATAACCTCCCTCTACTAGTCGGAATAATTAAATATCCTATATTCGCTTTAATTCGAGTGGCATACTTCCAAGCCCGAAAGCCACATGGGTTCGAGAGACTAAACGGAATATTTCCAAGATTGACAGTTTTATTTGTTCGTGAGGCACTCAAAACTTTTTGTCGACTAGACGGAATATTTCCAAGTCCTACTTTCTCATTAGTTCGGGAGACATTTTCATAACTTTTCTTGAATAGTTGGAATACTTCTAGGTTCAACAGTCGCATGGCTTTGCAAGGCACTTACATAACTTTCCTTGGACAAGTCGGAATATTTGCAAATCCGACAGTCGCAGTGATGCGGGATGCAATCGCATAACTTTCCCTCAACTAACCGGAACGATTCTAAGTACGACAGTTGCATTGGTTCGAGAAGCACACGCATAACTTTCCCTGGTTTAGTCAAAATATTTTCAAATGCGGCAGCCTCTTTGGTTCTAGAGGCATTCGCGTAACTTTCTATCGACCAGTAGGAAAATATCTACGTCCGACAGTTG